CTCAAAGTAAAACACAGTACGGTTAAGTTGTGTATGCCACAGCTATTTGGCCTGTCACTTTTCTTTTTAAAAAAAAGCTATAAAAACCACATCAGAGGAAGGTTTAAACTTTGGACGCAACGAGTGTTGCCGGGTGAGCAGTAATTACAGTGTATGGACCTAGCAAAGGGCAGCAGAACAGAGGAGAGCAGCACACAGCATCCTGCCGGCCCCGCCGGATTACCTCGGGTACCAGGCAAGCATCGGGAGCAGCCGCACAGCCGCTGACAGGAACCTCTGCACTCTGCAGCTGGTGCTGCTGGTGAGCCTTTCACTGCCAGCAGACAAACAACATGAATCATACAGCCGGCCTAAGCCATACAACAAATCTAGCTACCATTTTCACTGCCACTGGGGAAAGGACAATTGGATTCAAAATTCGATGACAGAACTAGTTGAGCAGTTTGGGCGATGTTGTCGGAGTCCCACCTCCTCCCACAGCATTCACAAAGTGCGCTTTCTAAACAAGAAAAATCAACAGATTCCAGCATGCCCTATTCTGACCAATTCTGCAGCATCCAACAGGCCAGACTTGAAAGGTCAGCTAGTCACCAGTTGATGCTTGTAGCAGGAAATTTATCAGGAGTCAATTTCTGTAGTTACTTTACAGTTCTATGAAAGGTACACTAAGAAAAGCACTGGTACTCTTGAAAGCAGACAAGTAAGCTTCAGTGAATATTTCTGTAGCAGTCTGAAGTCTTTTTTCCAATTGAATCTGATTTTATTAATGACTTAAAATTACAATTTGACTGCTGAAATTCACTTATTTACATTGTAGAACACTTCTGAATTGGTTAAATCGCTTGTTTTAAGAGGGACTTAGGAAAACATTTGAGGGCTTTCAAATAAGACTTTCATTCCATTTCCCTTTTGCAGTGAAGAGGCAGAGTCAGTTCAGCACACCAGAATAAAATAAGAAAAAAAACAACAAATTAAAGTAATATTCAAACCACAACATTTAGTTTATCTACATCCAGCTCAACAGCAACATTTATAATATCAATAATTTTTATCAGATTTTTTCTTTAGGGTACCTTTTTATATGTTCTGATTATTTACAACTGTACAAGCAAAGCACACACTTCCAAGTGCACATATTTAATACAGTATTGACTATTTGCATTTACAGGTTTTTCAACAATCTGAAAAAGATCAACTGTTTAAGATCTTTAAGGTATATTACAAAAACTGCTGCTAGTTCCTGTACTACAGTATGTTTACCCAGTAAGACCAGTGACAATAGATACATACTGTAACTGAGTAATTCTGTATTCCACTCATGCTAACCCTCCACGGGGTCAGACCTCATTAACTCTAAGCTGTCTTGTACAAAAGTTAAGGCAAAGTCATTTTCAAGTTTAAATAAAATTCAAGTCTTTAAATATTGGATGGAAATAATTCTTTAAAAAAATCAGTTGTTTAAATAAACATTTTTGTGGAATAAACTGTACTGTCATAGTCACCAGGAATGAGTTTGTCTGAAATTCCTGCAGTTTAAACATTTAAAGAAAAACTTCAGGCATTTTAAAACAAAAATAATTTATATTCAGCTTTATTAGAAACTTGCTAATTTAGTGCATCCTTGTCCTTCAGAAAGCGCATCACTTCTAAAGTAAGTGTGAGAAACCTCAGCCCAGAGGTAAATATCAGGGATCTCTTCCTCCACCACACAAAACAAACACCATTCTCTCACGTCCTGAAAAATTTAAATCCGTGCACCAATGCTTGTAGTTACAGGAAGACGTCAACACAAGGCTGACTAAGATATGAACTCTTTCAAAGAGCACTTGGGGCAGAGTCTAAAAAAAAAAAGTCTACACCGAGCACAGGGGTAACCAGAACATACAGCGCTGACTCAGTTAACTCCCTTACAAGCACAGGGAAGCTATGGTTATCACAAGGAGGCTACAGTGCCTTCTCCTGATAACATCCACTAACGGGCTTCACCACCATAGAAGCTCACAGACTTTAATTACTTTCTATTCACAATGTGCTTTGTATTTGCAAATTATAACATCAGTTTTATTCTGGAGTGAGAAGATGGTTACTTGCTTGCAGTAAGTCAAAAAAGGAAATATTTTAGAAAGACTGCTATGGTGCTCCATAGGATTCATTCTGTGTGTGCAAAACAAAAAAAAGATTAAATTTTTAAAAACGCTAGAAACAACTACTCATTTAACCTAAAAGTGCAAGTTCATTTGCTGACACTTAGTACAGCAGCCCAATAAAAAAAAATCTTCAAGGTCATACTAATTCGTAAAATACGTCTACTTCCTTGCACTCTACACACTAGCTGCCGTTATCAGTCGTTTGGACACTTTAGATATGTACTTGCAGACCAGTTTATTAAAAATATTGCAGCAGCACATTTCTGCTTAACAGTTTAGAAAAAACTCACTATACAGAGCTTGCACTCACACAGCCACAGAGAGGCTTAATAAAAAGTTGATTTTTTGAAAGACAAATATTTTACATCTTGAAAAAAATAATCACACTAAGCTTCACCTCCAATTAAGCACCAACCTAAATGTAAGGTTTAGAACAACTATCCAGAAATATCCAGAAAAATAGAATGTTTGTTCAAGAGGGGAAAAAGTATTTCACAGAAAAATAACTTGCAGGCATTGTTATATGCCTAGTATCACTGCAAGCTCCTAACCAGCAACTCATTCTCAGGTATCTCAGTGGGAACATGGGTTTAATTTGTGGGAAGCAGACCTCTTTTCGAATCCCTCCCAGGTGTTAGCTTCACTGAGGAGATTTTGGAGGGGTATTCTGTTCTTTATTTAAGCGTTTGCCAACGGCTGGAGGGGATGATCTGCGTCCTGACTGTCTCCTCTGGTCTTTGGGTTGTCCAGGATGTGACTTAGCAGGAGGAGGAGGAGGTTCTCTGTTTTTCTCTATTGTTTCTGTGGGCTTTCTTTCTTCTTTCCCACATGCTACAGTGTTCGGCTTCTGTTCTTTCTGGGGTTGCAATGTAGGAGGATCCTTAGTTGTTCTCTGGCAAATTTCTGCATAACTAGGTTTTCGCAGTTCCTGTGAAATTGAAAGCAAACAGGACAGAGTTAAACAAAGCATCCTGAGAAAAAAATCCTTTTGTGAACAAAAAAGGTGAAGTCTTTGTCCTAAAAGATTGCTGCGTTAAAATATGCAGATAAGGGCTTAAGTATGAAGTTTACAGCAGCTGTACAGACAAGGTAACATGCAAAACAGTATGCCAGAAAAATGGGGTACTGTGATAGGGCAAAATAATTCCAGTTCAAGCAAACTCTAAACCAGCTGAAAGACGATGGAATACTTTGGTTTAAATACCAACAGCTGTACTAATGCTTCTACCTCAAGGACACTAACAAGAGGAGAATTCAGATAAAGAGCTATCATTTGCCAAGTTATCCTGAACACTTTTGCACTGTTCACTGCAGAATTGCATCACGCAAGCAATCATGAGGCCACCACCATGCAAATTTAAGGACCCCGGGCAAATTTAAGGATGCTGGACTGACATGATTAAGCAACACTGGGTGGCAACAGAAACCATATTCTGTTAAACACAAACTGGATCATTAAGAGAAAGTGAAGTAATAAGGTCACTTACTATGGCAGCCCCATTGACTTGCACCGATTTACATGCAGTACTGAGTGTGGAAGAAGAAAGCCTTTCTGTACTCTGTGTCTCTCTCTGCTGTTTATCCACAACCTTGGAGTCCCTGTAAGCATCCAACAGGAAGCAAGGCTCATGAGTGAAACTTCAGGATAGAGGAGTGATCTAATAATGGGTCTAAAACTCTGAGTATGACTGTAACAAGTTAGAGCTATCATTTGCCTAGTACATTATGACTAGCATTGCATTGAAAAACGCTACCAAATATTGAAAAAGATATTCCTGTGGAACTTGACACTACCTGTAATTTGTGACATTCTGACAGCATTTGGTTATTCAGTTATCTTACTCCTGTTACTCAAACACCTCAATTTGATTTGCAGGTTCCAAATAAAATCTTACTGAAAACTCTTTATTGTATGGACAGCAGTACCACCCATGGGATCATGGGTTTACTCTCTAAGTTTCAAAGCTATCTAAATACAAGACAGTAAGGTATTCACTAAACTTAAATACTTGCAGAGACTAAAACACAACACTAAACTTTTGTCTGCTGAATAACTGTTATGACTGAATCACCATTATGATATTGTTCAGAAATTAAGCTTTACTGCCTTTACTACAATATACAACAAAACATTATTTCTTTCATTGATTAAGATTTTAATAGCCATTTACAGTGTTCCACCTAGCCTTCTGATGAGAGAAAATGCAAACATGATTCAGAGCAGAATAATGATAGCCATGTCTAAGTGCTTACTCAGAAGACTGGGATGGAGAAGGAGACCTTTCAAACGTCCTGGGCAATGTAGAAGAAACTGGCAACAATGGCTCTCGAGGAATTCCCGATGGAATAGTGTTTGTACTTGCATCCACATTAATGTTCTGAAGAAGGGAAAAAAGGCACAGAAGGGCAATCATTATATCCAATTAATATGGTTTGCCTGGATATTAACACAATCAGGAAACAGTTTACAAGTTGATTTAGAAGGGTAAATTAACTATATGAAGATACAGAACCATCCAATATATGTATTTTAACAACTAACTTTTTTGCTTTACAATTATTTAGAAACACAGACAAAATCACACACTGTGGCTCTTTCCCAAAGAGCTGGAAACTTAGTTCCCTTTGGAACGTATCTGGACAACAAAATCACTTCTTTCACACTGGGAATTCTGCACCTGCTGGTGACAAAGTAGGCTTTATGCCTGTTCACACAACCACAGTTAGCCTGCTAAGACAAGTCTCCTAGAGTTATGCACTAAACTGTCATCTTCAAAGCTCTAACTCTGCATCATCCTAAGAGCTGGTGTTCAAAACCCCTAACCTTTTAAAAAAAATTTTTTTTTTTGTTATAAGTCTCTTTCTTATGCTATAGCATAATTTGCTACCAAGCAAGAGAGGCTTTTTCCATAGCCCTCAAAGGATTCTGCTAGGGCCAAGTGATACTGTGCTTCCAGATAAAGACCAAACAGGTTCAAGACACATGCACGAATTGTCACAAAATAAGAAAGGAGAAAGAAGTCTTTGTATCTTGAAAAATGCATTTCTGACATTTAGTTAGAAAATGCAGGATGATCAACGCCTGCCATTCCCCAGAGCTACCCCTAGAACACCACCACAAAGCAAAGAGCATGGAGATATGATGCTTGGATAACAGCTGTTGGAAATCATGCAACCTAAATTCACTCAGCTTCTGTACACCAGACTTGCCCACCTATAAAACAAGAGTAGCACTGTGTAACTACTTCAGCACTTCATAACTCTGTCAGGGGACATGAAAAAACATTGAGATCAAGGTGAAAAGCAGCCTGTATACACTGGCAAGATTTGAATGTTAACTCAAACACCTTTATAGAACACAATCACTCTTTGGAGCCAGTTGCTGTTATCTTGTTCCTTACTAACACCAGCAAGGAAAAACAGCGCAATCCCTTTCTTCTAGACAAAGGTACAGACCAACTCATGCAAGACAGAAAAAGAAATTGGGAAATCAAATGAAGATTTTTAATGTAACAGTGAATTGCACTATGATAAAACCTCAGTGCCTGACTGATAAAGACAGCCTCTACAGGGGAAAAGTGTTAAGTGCTTTACAATAAGCACAATGCAAAGCAAGTACTAGATTTGTAATGGGAGGAGCCATGGGTTTTCAGCTGCAGTATCAATAGCAAGTACTGGAATTACATTTAAAACCTGAAAGTCAAAATGCACTTCAGAAATCAGAGAGGTAAAATACTTCAAAAATAGATAGATCTTTGCCAAGAACAGACTACAATCTGGCATACTGGCTGACAGCAAGTTAAACACTGCTTTTATGTCACTGAGCTGCTTGTTCCCCTTAAATGCAAGCCTGGCTGTGCACACAACCCTGGCTTGTCTGCACAGCCACTGCTTCAGCTGCAGGCTGCCCTCTTCCCTTTCCCAAGAAACACCCTCCCTACCCACCCCTAGTATGCGGGCACCAAACAAAACACTTCTGCAATAGACTGGCTTTAGAGACAAGATGCAAGAGATTTTGGTGTTTCATCAAGTTACTTTGCACCACTATATCCAGGTGTTAACTTCAGTTCTGATACAGCTAGAAAAACACAAGTTAAATTAGAGCTAGCAAAAAAGCTAATACCGACTCCCATAGCCTGGACTGTTCCACAGCACACAGTGTTACATGAGTCTTGATGGAGGAGAACATACTGTCACTCACAGATGGCATGGTGGAGACAGTTCTAAGAATGAACTCTATGAGCAGCTACTGAACATTAATTTTCAACTGCATCTCTACTACATGTAGAAAGTGGTGGTTGCCAAGTCATTCTGGTATATTTTTCTCTTTCCAAGCAATATGACAAGACAACACTGGGAACCAGCTGGTTTTGGTAACAGTTCATGTTCCAGCTATGATGCCTAGTGTACTGAGATCACGTAGGCAGCTTCTTTATATTTCGGTGCTTAAAAGTTTGTCTCTGTCACTTTAAAGTGTTTTACATACAACTCAGAAGCCTGACTTTCAAAGAGGAGGAAAATTTATCACATTTTTCACCTGAGTCTATCAAAAAGCCTGATGCAATTACAAACAGCAAAGGGCATATTTTCTAATCTTTGCTATTAACATCTACTTATACCAGTGCTCATATTCCACACCATTTCAAAGAGAATACCCCACATATTCTAAGATGTAAGTGAAGGTGGCACATCATTTGACAGATGTTTTTTTAAAAGCATTTCTTAATCACCCTTGTAAGACCACATGTTTTTTCTATGTGTTAGCCACCAAATCTGGACATAAGTAGTATTCAATTGTTTGTTTTTCCAACAAAAATGAACACTGGTTACTCACTCTTTCTTTTGATGTTCCTATTACCACACTGGACAGTCTGTTTTCAAAAAGATCTTCGGTCTTTAAATTGCCAGCAGCCCCGGGTAATGGAGGAAAGCTAGATAAACCCAATTCAAAGCTAGGAGATGGAGGTTTTGGGGGTGGCGGAGACTGTGTTTGGCCTCTCTGGAATAGAAATAACACGTTGAGGTTACTGCACTGGATGACAGAAAAGACATGGGACTCTAAACTGTACTTTGTATTTGATTTATATCTGCGAAGACCTAGAGAGGCTTCCCCTATCCCGCCTCCCAAAGAAAGCCACACAGTACCAAGGAACAGATGCTTTTAATTTCCACTGTGGCCCTTAAAATATTTAGCTATCATTTAAATAGGATGGCATAAGCATCCTTAAAAATTCCATATGCATAAGCTTTAATGATACTGGTATAGTAATAAGTCTTCTCACTGGCTATTCCTTCAGGATAGACACAGACTGACATAGAAAGGAAACCAGACTGATTTAGACATCGTGATATAGTGAAAATATAAAGTCCATTTCTGTGCAGTTGGTAGCATTCTAAATGAAAGACAGGACTCAAAAAGAATCTTTTATCATGTTCAGATACATTAAGAAATGGCAAGACAGCATGCCTTGCATGTATTGTAGACAACAGCAATTCTCATCTAACTAATTTGAATTTGTATCGTCACTTTGTAAAAATACAAAAATGTCAAAACTGTTTTTTGAAACAGGGAGAATTTTTCTAACTAAATCTAAGACAACAAACAATGTCCCAGTCAAAAAAAAAATCAATGGGCTAAATACAACTATTTTGCACTACAGACAGCAATTTAGGAGTTGAGTACCACAGTTAAAGATCACTTGTAAGGATTTGTAAAGCTAAATTCTATTTACATTGAAAAAATAAAACTGCTTTTGTAACATGCTGTAACTGAAGTTACTCCTTAACTTCATCTACATCATGTAAACAAAGAAGTAACTATTTCATGACTGGGCTCAGGCCCGTGCTAAGAGGATCTCTGCTGTAAAATACCAAATGCAAAGCAATCCTTGAGACGATTCCTATTTTGAAATGGAAAATATTTATGGGTATATAGTCAAGATGGTCTGAATGTGAGAACAATGCTTCTGGACAGAAAAGTGTTGCATTACTTACTGCTTTTTCCTCTTCCTTCTCATGAAGAATAGATACAAAACTACCCTTGAGGCCTTTTCACAAACTACAGATGATGTCAAAAGAAGTGTGTATTGGGAGGGAAGTAGGGAA